CGACAGCTTCTGGCGTTTTTAAAAAGTATCCCAGGGGCAGGGTAAGGGTCGGAGATGTTTAGTCTATTTAATTTCTGACTATATAAAACGATTTCTTCGGTTTTAAAGTGTGAAGTAAACTCCGACGGAGTAAAATCCAAGCCGATCCCGTTCAATTTGTTTACATTTGTTGCCTGCCAACATGGCGTCTACTCTCTGAGAGTCACGTGTCATCCAGAGCTCTATAGAGGGCACCAGCAAGGTGACCACTGGTTTAGATGAAGCTGCACCATGTTTACGACAGCTTTTAGTCAGGTAATTTCATGCATGATTTAGGAAAAATTCAATCATGATTTTGTTTAACAATTTTTTTTCATTCACCTTCAGGTATGAATGAAACAAATTTCAACAAATCTTTTTTTTTTTTTGGGGGGGGGGGGGGGGGGGAGGAATTCAGGCAATAAAAGGTCCCCCACAGTAGATCACGCAAAGAGCAACAGCGAATTCCAAATACTGCCAGGCACTGATCAGTTACTTACACGCAGGGGCAGAGTAACTCTGCCCGCCTGCCGTGTTGAGCTTCGCCACGGATCTCCCTCTGCTGCTGCTACTGCTTCTGCTGCTGCCTGTGCTGCTGGTGAATCTCCTTCTGTTCCTGCAGGGTTCGCGCTGTCTGTCCGGCTCCGATGGGTTTTTTTTTCCTACTCCCCTGGTCCACACGTTCCTCCCTTTAAATAAAACCCTGTCACATTCACCTCCTGCCTGCATCTGTTCATTGATTGGCAGTCCAGTCCACAATCTGCCACAGGTGTAATTGATTGGGGTGATTAGAACAGAAAGGAAAGCAATGTTGCACCAATCAAACTAAAAGCACACAATCATGAAAAAAAACATGCAAAACAGAATGAAAACAAGTAAAACATGAAAACAAATAAGTACAACATCACCACTCTGTGACACGTTCATCGACTGGCCGGGGACATGTAAGCTGTTGGGAGACATCTTCAGTCGCTGGATGATTAGCTTAACTTGGTACTTATGACTGAGCCATTTTTAAGAAACCGTTGCTAAACCAACAAAATCTTGTTTCTAGTGTTTTTGCCTCTGTGCATTTTGCGAGTCTGACTGGATTTAATGATCTGCATCTCCACGAGATTTCGGCCACCACCTTCTACCCACCACAGTCGCACACAAATACAGAAAAGCTGGTCCATGTGTGCTCCATAATCAGGAAGCCGAGTCCCTATGCCATTCTCCACACTGCGGCTTTGCACTCTCATTTCTCATCCATGCTGTTAAACCCTCCACAGCACCACATCAGTGGTCTCAGCAAGAGAAAGCGTAGCCACAATCACTTGTGGAGCAGGTGCCGTTCTGCATCCCCAGGACCATGGCCATTCTAGCCCGCTCACAACGTCCTGCTATAGTCAGCACCTTGTCCAGATCAGTTGCTACCTGTTCGTTACCTTTAGCACATAGGCCAGGGTCTGCCTAAACTTTTCCTCATTTTGTGCCATTTTGGAAAGCCCAAGTGACAAGCCTCTAAATATCAGCTGCATACAGCTCAGAACTCTCATTAGCCAGCCGAGGCCGAGCAGAAACACAAGTCTGGAATTATAGCATTAACTTTTTCTGTCCTGATGCCTCATTTAACTTCTCTTAAACACATTCAGAGTCACCTTGTGTGGCTGCAGGGAGGCTGTCCCACAAAAGGAATTCAATTCAATTCAATTCAAAAATACTTTATTAATCCCAGAGGGAAATTGATTGCTGTAGTAGCTCAGAATAATAATAATAATCAAGTCATCAAAGAGTTGTTGTATATTACAATGGCTGTTGGCAGGAAGGATCTCCAGGCTGCAGCGTGTCGTGCGCTCTGCAGAGAAGGTCACTGGCTGCAAACTCCCCTCCATTCAAGATCTGTACACCTCTAGGACATTGAGGTGTGCAGGTCGGATAATAGCTGACTCGTCTCACCCTGGACACAGTCTCTTCGACTCGCTCCCATCTGGCAGAAGGCTCAGATCCATTCGGACCAGAACCTCTCACCACAAAAACAGTTTCTTCCCCCTGCAGTTGGACTTTTGAATGAAAATCCTAGGGCAGCCCACTCAAGTTGATTGTTCCCAGTCACATGACCCGATGCTGTGCTTGAACCATTCAACAAATACTCAGATTAATACCTACACGGAGTAGATAGCTGCTTCTCTAATTATTGCCACTTTTTACATTAATAATTTTATCATGAGTGTTTTATTAGTTCTTATATTTGCTTATCTCTTAATTAATTTTTTTTCTATCTTACCTTCTGCACCAAAATACCGCAGCAATTTCCTAATGTTGTGACTTGGCACACATATGGCAATAAAAACTTCTGATTCTGATTCTGATCCAGTAGCGGTCAGTGTTGCAGCGAAACTGAAGAAGCCTCTGACTGAAGACACTCTTCCGTTGTCGGACAGTCTTGTGAAGAGAATGCTCAGGGTTGTCCATCATTTTCTTGATTCTCTGGAGAATCCTTCTTTGCATTATCTCCTCCAGTGGTTCCACAGTCGTCCCCAGAACAGAACCAGCCTTTTTTATTAGGCTGTTGAGCCTTTTCAGGTCCCTGCTTCTGATGCTACTACCCCAACAAACGATGGCTGAAGAGATTACACTCTCAACAACAGACTTGTAGAAGATCTGCAGCATCTTGCTACAGACATTGAAGGACCTAAGCGTCCTCAAGAAGTGCAGTCTGCTGTGTCCCTTCTTGTAAACGGCTTCGCTGTTCTTTCTCCAGTCCAGTCTGTTGTCCAGGTGAACTCCAAGGTATTTGTATTCCTCAACCACCTCCACTTATTCTCCCATGATGGAAGCAGTGTTTGACTCCACCCTGTTTCTTCTGAAGTCTAAAATCATCTCCTTTGTTTTGTTCACGTTCAAGGTCAGATGATTGTTTCCACACCATGCCACAAAGCGCTCCACCAGCTCTCTCTACTCAGCTTCCTGTCCATCTCTGATACACCCGACAACTGCAGAGTCATCTGAGTATTTCTGTAGATGACAGGTCTCTGATTTGTACTGGAAGTCTGAGGTGTACAGGGTGAAAAGGAATGGTGAGAGTACAGTCCCCTGTGGTGCTCCAGTGTAACTGATCGCCTGGTTTGATGTGCAGTTCTTCAGCCTCACAAACTGTGGTCTGTTTGTCAGGTAGTCTTTAATCCAGGTGATAGTTGAGGCCCCCACCTGTGTCTTCTGGAGTTTCTGGCAAAGTACATCAGGCTGAATTGTGTTAAATGCACTGGAGAAATCAAAGAACCTGACCCTCATAGTGCTGCCTGCTTTGTCCAGATGACAGTGGGTTGGTTGAAGCAGCTGGATGATGGCATCTTCAACTCCAACTCCATGGTGATAAGCAAACTGCAGCGGGTCCTGATATGTTCTAGTTTGCTTATTCAGGTGGACCAACAGGAGTCTCTCCAGTAGTGGCGGCTGGCCAGTAGAGGGCGATAGGGCGCCGCCCTCCCAGTTTTTCCGTGTTTTTAATTTTTATTTAAAAAAATAAATAAATAAAATTAACAATAATCACATATTCTAAGTTAATTGTGTGTTTTGTAACAAAAATAAATCATATATATATATATATATATATATATATATATATATATATATATATATATATATATATATATATATATATATATATATATATATATATTGGTCTCTGCCGGTCTCTTCCCAGCGGTGGGAGTAGGACCTGGCTGCAGACAGAGGGGGGGGGGGGGTGTCATTTTGCCTTGGCCCCCAAAATGTCTTGAAACGGCCCTGGGTGTGTGACTGAGTTTTGAAGGTGATCTGAATTGTATCAGATGTATAAATATTACATGTGTATAACTTATTGTTTTATACAGGTAAAACGTGTAGTGGAGATAAATCTACCTACATTTTACTTTGTTTTCTTGTTTTTATTTAACTATTTCCTGTCCTGTCTGTCTCTCATCTTCCTGCATCTCCTCTAAACTCTCCAGAAAAACTGCTGCCTGGATTCTTACTTTTTCACCTCATCAGTTACTTTTGAGCAGATCAAAGGGATCTCCTGACCACAAAGCGGAGAGCGCGATTCGATGCTGCGTCAGTGAGGTGAAATCACCGCAGTGCAGGTGATGAGCTCCGCAGCAGAGCGCTTCAGGCACAAATAAGACAGAAAGTAGAGAACATGAGCGGACATGAACGATCGTGTGCTAGTTTTGGTTGCGCCACTTTGATAATGGACCGTGCGCTGGAAGCAGCAGCCTGGAGCGCTGCGCAACAACGCAGCGCTGTGTCGCTGTCTGTGCTCTCTGCTCCAAAGAGTCCATAAATGATGTCATAGTTAGAAAACTTTTTTCCAGCTCCCCTGGATGTGTAGGACATACAGCTCCCCCATAATTCGATCCTTGCTCCTGGATGAAAAGCCGGACATTTTCATCAATACAAGAACCAGTCCGGACGTCCTGGACAGAGTGAAAAGTGGACACGGTCCATCTCCTTTCCTTTTTGTATTGTTTTCTCTCTGTAAACATGCTGTTAACTTGCTTTGCACATCTTCTAATTGAAATCTGTCTTTAACATATATATATATTATTTTCATAAGCTTGCGTTTGGTGCCCCTTCCCCGGCGTGGTGCCCTACGCGCTGTGCGTGTGCGGAGCGCCGGCGCTGCTGGTGTTTCTGTATTTTTGGGTCTGCGTTTTTTTTTTATTATCGAATTTGTATTTATCTTTTAATTATAATAATTTGAAATCATAAAAAATATTTTGCTTGTAAAGCACCTTGTTTGCAGCTATATAAAAATGATTTATTTTTAATGACTGTAGAAACAGAAGGGGTTCATATGTTTTCTTCTGTGCATTGTTTATTCAGGACATGACATACTGAGCATAAACTACGTTTTCAATTTCTGTGGCTCAATTTCCGTAGTTGTCCCCCAAAACGGAAAAGATACATGTCCGCCCGTGCAAAAGGTGCAAATACAGCTTGCCAGACGCCATTCACCACTATCAGGGAAGGCACTCGTATAGTGCGCATGCGCCATGCATGCAAAGCACTCCGCGCCTTCTCCAACCAGGCAGCTGCAGATGTCGACTCTTGTGTTTTCCTCCTCCTGGCACACCATCACATTTGTTCAGCTCAGAGCCCAGCAGAGTCGCCCCCCACCCCCAGAGAGTTTGGGCTTCGCATGGACAGACTGGAGTCGAGCCCATTTTCCCTCCTCTCTCCTCGGTTTTGTGGTTATTTTTCGACAGAAAACGTTTGCGCTCATCCGCTGACCGGTGAGTACGTGCTGCTGCTGTTTCTCCAGAGACAACGCTAGATTGTGGCTAGCTAGAAAATGTTAGTTATTCCTTTCCGGCCTGCTTAACGTGGTCGGCCACCTCCTCCCTCTTCTGGTTAGCTCAACCTAGCTAGCACCTCCTCCGAGGTGTTTAGGGACAGCCTTGATTGTAGGAATGATCGAGCTATAGAAGCTAATGGAGCTAATGTTGCAGATAAATAAACGGCATCTAGCTTTTAACAGCTGTTTGCCTTCATAGTGTGGCTTCTTAGTGATGATTTCGTGCGTTTTTGACTGGAAATTGCATAATCGTGGTCGTTTTTTATTTGACCAGTTTTAGCAAGGTGGTAGTGAGATTTTTTTTTATCGTGGGTGTGTGTTGCGGTTAAGTCATGTTTGATTTTGTCCGTAAAACTGGAAGATCTGGACAATTTTATTCCTCATTTCAGTGCGTTGTTTACCACCGAAGATTTAGTACATTTTCCTGTGATTTTGAAAGTTTCATTTATTTTTGTTTTCATTATTAAAATCCAATCACATGTAACAGATTCATCTGAAGTTTTAGCTAATCGATCCAAGTCAAGGTAAACAAATTGCACTCAGATTAAAAGGGGCTTGACTTTAAGCTGCATCTTAATAGCTGTTAAATCTAATAAGTTTAATGATGGTGGGTTATTATTTACCTACTTATCTACCTGAGCCATGCAGCTGTTGATGAAAATTAACATTTCACAACAAACAAGAATCGAGTGACTGGCTTCCGAGGAGCATTAAATGCAGCATTTAATTCATAAATCAAGTGCAGTCAGAACTGAACATGTTGAATAACTTCACTGAGTTGTGTGACATAAGTCTTCTACACTAGACAAAGAGCAGTCCGAAGACCTCTTATGATGAATTATATAAATGGAAACCGTGTTTATTCGCCCGGACGTGGGTCGTCACCGGGGACCCCATCTGTAGCCAGGCCTGGAGGTGGGGCACTTTGGCGAGCACCTGGTAGCCGGGCTTTCACCCATTGAGCCCAGCCGGGCACAGCCCGAAGAGGAAACATGGGTCCCCCTTCCCATGGGCTCACCACTCGTGGGAGGGGCCAAAGGGGTCGGGTGCAGTGTGTGACGGGTGGTAGTCGAGGGTGGAGATCTTGGCGGTCTGATCCTCGACTACGGAAGCTGGCTCTTGGCACATGGAATGTCACCTCTCTGGTGGGGAAGGAGCCTGAGTTGGTGTGTGAGGTTGAGAGGTTCCGACTAGATATAGTCGGACTCACCTCAACGCATGGCTCTGGCTCTGGAACCAGTTTCCTTGAGAGGGGTTGGACTTTCTACCACTCTGGAGTTGCTCCCACTGAGAGGCGCCGAGCAGGGGTGGGCATACTAGTTGCCCCCCATCTTGGTGCCTGTACGTTGGGGTTTACCCCAGTGAATGAGAGGGTAGCCTCCCTCCGCCTACGTGTGAGGGGACGGGTTCTGACTGTGGTCTGTGCTAATGCACCAAGCTACAGTTCAGACCACCCACCCTTTTTGGAGACCTTGGAGGGGGTGCTGGAAAGCGCTCCTTCCGGTGACTCCCTCGTTCTGCTGGGGGACGTTAACGCTCACATGGGCAACGACAGTGAGACCTGGAGAGGTGTGGTTGGGAGGAACGGCCCCCCCCCCGATCTGAATTCGAGTGGTGTTTTGTTATTGGACTTCTGTGCCAGTCATGGATTGTCCATAATGAACACCATGTTCAGACATAACTGTGTCCATATGTGCTCTTGGCACCAGGATACCGTAGGCCGCAGCTCGAAGATTGACTTTGTTGTTGTTTTGTCTGACCTGCGGCCGCATGTCTTGGACACTCGGGTGAAGAGAGGGGCAGAGCTGTCAATTCCCACCTCCGACAGAACTTCCAAAATGTTCCAGGAGAGGCGGGGGACGTTGAGTCTGAATGGACCCTGTTCCGTGCCTCCATTGTTGAGGCAGGCGACCGGAGCTGTGGTCGCAGGCTCGTCAGTGCCTGTCGTGGTGGCAACCCCCGAACCCGCTGGTGGACACCGGCGGTTAGGAATGCTGTCAAGTTGAAGAAAGAGTCCTATCAGGTCTTTTTGGCCTGTGGGACTCCAGAGGCAGCTGACCGGTACCGGCAGTCCAAGCGAAACGCGGCTCGGGTGGTCACCAAGGCAAAAACCCGGGCATGGGAGGTGTTTGGTGAGACCATGGAGCAAGACTTCCGTACGGCTTCGAGGAGATTCTGGTCCACCATCTGGCACCTCGGGGGGGGGGGGGGGGGGGGAGCAGTGCGCTACCAACACTATCTATAGTGGGGACGTGTGCTGCTGACCTCCACTCAGGACGTTGTGGATCGGTGGGCAGAATACTTCGAAGACCTCCTCAATCCTGTGGCCCTGTGGGGGGTACTCCGGCAGTATGGGGTACCAGGCTCTCTGATACGGGCTTTTAGTTCCCTGTATGATCAGTGTCAGAGCTTGGTCTGCATTGCCAGCAGTAAGTCGGGCTCGTTCCCAGTAAGAGTTGGACTCCGCCAAGGCTGCCCTTTGTCACCGTTTCTGTTTATAACCTTTATGGACAGGATTTCTAGGCACAGCCAAGGTTTGAAGGCATCCCTTTTGGTGACCTGAGGATCAGGTCTCTGCATTTTGCAGATGATGGGGTCCTGTTGGCTTCATCAGAACGTGATCTTCAGCTTTTGCTGGAGTGGTTCGCAGCCGAGTGTGAAGCAGCTGGGATGAGAATCAGCTCCTCTAAATCTGAGACCATGGTCTTGATTCGGAAAAGGGTTGAATGCCTTCAATCAATCAAAATTTATTTATGAAGCGCTTTTCATGCAAATGCAGCTCAAAGCGCTTAACAATATTAAAAACAACCAGACAGCAGTCGGTTTCCCACCCCTCCCACACAGATTCACATAAGAGATCCCCCTTTGTTTCTCCCTCCTCCCACCCTCAATCCCGTCCCAAGCAGATGCAAACTCCCGCGCACACACACACACGCACACACGTAATAGAGAAAGGGCAGCTGGCTGAGTGCAGATGTAGTAGATACAAAGAAGACAAAAACGCCATCAAAGGAGCTAACTGCACCTGGAGCACCAAGATTGGCAGCAATAGCCTTGGCAAGAGTAGACATGGGAAGCACCTTGGCCGCCACAGCCCACCACTGCCTCCGGGGCAGCCGGCCCCCACAGAGGAAACACTAGTTTACTAATGAGACTAAGATAACAGTTAAGAAACAAATTAAACATAAACAGCTGATAAATAAAAATCTAAACAAAACACAGTGATGGGGATGAGGTCCTGCCCCAAGTGGAGGATTTTAAGTATCTCGGGGTCTTGTTCAAGAGTGAGGGAAAACTGGAGCGTGAGATCGATAGGCAGATTGGTGCTGCATCTGCAGTGATGCGGGCATTGTACCGGTCTGTCGTGGTGAAGACAGTGCGGAGTCAGAAGGCGAAGCTCTCGATTTACCGGTCGATCTACGTCCCTACCCTCACCTATGGTCATGAGCTTTGGGTAGTGACCGAAAGAACGAGATCATGGATACAAGCGGCTGAAATGAGTTTTCTCCGAAGAGTGACTGGGCTCTCCCTTAAAGATAGGGTGAGAAGCTCTGTCATCTGGGAGAGGCTCGGAGCAGACCCCCTGCTCCTCCACATCGAGAGGAGCCAGTTGAGGTGGCTCGGGCATCTGGTCAGGATGCCTCCTGGACGCCTCCCTGGTGAGGTTTTCCGGGCACGTCCAACCAGGAGGAGACCTAAAGGTAGACCCAGGACACGGTGGAGGGACTATGTCTCTCACCTGGCCAGGGAACACCTTGGTATTCCCCTGGAGGAGCTGGCCCAAGTGGCTGGGGAGAGGGAAGTCTGGGCCTCTCGCCTTAAGCCGGGCGTACACTGTGCGACTTTTTCACTTTTTTGAGCCAATTTTCCACTCGTGCGAGAATCCACGAGATCGGGGCGAGTTTTGCGCTGAGCTTCGTGTAGTGTACAGGGATTACGAGAGGTGATTAACACCAGTGACCAGCTACCGATCAGCAATCGTGAGCTCGCACGGACTTCTGGCGTGTTTGATATTTTGCTCGTCCCTCGTGAGGGTATTGCACTGTTGAAGCGGCGCTGTGAGCAGCTGCGACCCAAAAAGTATCAGAACCGCTCACGGCGCATGCGCAATCATGCATCAACACCGCTCGCCCGCTATTTCCCTAATAACACACGTTGTTCTTTTTTGTTTTTACACATTTTTTTACTCACAAAGATTGTCAAGAAAGCGTGTTTGTCGTGTTCATGTCAAATTAAACTGATCACAAAACATAGATTTACTTTCTTTATTTCGTTTTCCTCATCCAACCTCCATAAATCGCTGTGTGTCCTCCTGCAGCACTCCCGAAGGACAACAGGCAAAACAAGACAAAAAAGTCTTGATGTGTTGTGTAAAAACTGCTATTTTTAGCATATTTTTAGGTCCGACGTGTTGCTACCAGACGTACAGTGTGAGCAGTCAGGTCGCATCCGAGAACTGGGTCGTACAGTGTGAGCACATGACTCGTGAGATCTGCCCTGCGAGGAAGTCGTACAGTTTGAGCTGAAGCTGAGCGCTACAAGTGAAAAAGTCGCGCAGTGTACGCCCGGCTTAAGGCTACTGCCCCTGCGACCCGACTCCGGATAAGCGGATGAAAATGGATGGCTGGATGGAAGTCTTCTACACACTGTTGCTGAATTACATTTTTTTTTAAGTTAATGACTTAAGATATAAGATATTTGCTTTCAAGCAAAATATGTTTTCTCTCCCAACACCGGTAATAATAATTATAATAATGATAATAATAATACATCTAACTAAGGTAAGATTTTTATATAGCTGTCAGCTTTTTTCTCCTCTGCATCCATGTTGTTCCTTTTGCATTTTCTATGTACACTGCCTGGAAATAAATGTCACTATTATTACGTTGGAGCGCCCTTAGCTTTGATTACGGCACGCATTCGCTGGGGCATTGTTTCGATAAGCTTCTACAAAGTCAAAAGAGCTATTTCCATCCATTGTTGCATTAACTTTTCACCAAGATCTTGCATTGATGATGGTAGAGTCTGATCGCTGCACAAGCCTTCTCCACCGCATCCTAGAGACTTTCTAAGGGCCTTTTCCACCGACCAAACTGGCATGGAATGGGAAGGATCGGGTCGCTAAATATTTTGTTTCGATCGTTGAACCAGTCCAGGAAACCTACCCGAACCGGTCCAGTAGCGGGCCAGAGCGGGACCCCTTCTGTTGTGGGTCCAGAGATTTTTGGTCTGGGCGGAGCCACAGCGTAAAAGGTCCAGAGTCCTCTGATTGGGGGAGAAATTACGTAACTACCCGTGACAATCCCAGGGGATGGAAAGAAGTGAGTCGAGTTCCAGTGTTTGTTTGGCTGTACTCCTTGTGTGTGAAAATGCCTGCAACAAGTAATAGCTTTTGGTCCAATGCGGAGCTTCAAACGTTCCTCACCATCATCGGAGATGGCAACATTCAGGCCGAGCTGGATGGGATGATAAGAAATGAAAGTCTTCAAAGAAGTTTCTCAGCGCATGGCAGCTGAAGGATTCCAGCGCACCTCCGAGCAGTGTCGTGCGAAGCTGAAAAAAATAAAAGCCCACTACAGAAAAGTTAAGGACAGCAACGGCCGTAGTGGGAATGGGCGAAGTACATGGAAGTGGTACGATGTGGTGGACGCTATTTATGGACACAGACCGTCAAACCGAGGCAGCGAAGGAGGCTTGGACTCGGCGACCAGTATCCTGGAGTCACTCATAAACCCTGTTGGTAAGCACTTCTTTTGTTGTCTTTTTAGCTCTGCAGGCCATTCATTGCAGCACCAAAAACACTGAATAATAGCAGCACCTATTTAAGAAATGCTCAGCAAGTAAAGGATTTACCACCTCATGTTAACTAGCCTTAGCATCCCCTCGTGTTTATGTTAACCTTCATTTAGCATTCCCCCGTGTTTTTTAACACGCTGTTCGCGATATAAGCCTTTTTTGTTTAGCATGTCGTTGTTGCGTACATGAGGCTGGAGCGGAGTTTGCCTTTCTTGTTAGCGTCTCATTGTTTAAAACATGGGAAATTCGGTTAGACTTTCACGTTAGCATCTCAGTGTTTTTAGCATCTCATTGTTTTATACAGCTGAGCACCCACATTGAGGATCAGCGAGCTGATCTAATATTATAAATATCCCAAAAGTTGTGCCAGCAGTGTTTTTAGCCTAGAGTGGACTTTTAACAAGTATATATTTTTCGATTGAATAAGAATATAACATTAAATTGCAATTAATTGTACGTCACTGGCGAATTACTGCCATCTAGTGGACACGTTCCAAATGACAAAATGGCCTTAACTCATAGTAGTTTTATTAAGTTTACTATATGCCTATATGCTCTTTTGCTGCAAAAATATTGTGCTTTTCTTACTGATTTATTTTGTGATCTTTTCTTACTAATTTTTTGATCTGTGTTTTTCAGACACATCTGAAGCGGAAAACACTCCCTCTTCAGAGGAACCATCCACTTCCTCAAGTAGCACTCCAGGACCTTCTGTGCCACCATCGCCTCGGCCAGTTCCTTCGCCACCACCATCACCTCTGTCCACTACCACTCGAGAGGAACATCTACCATGTCGTTGACGCACAGGTAGTGTGTGACCATTCTAAAAATTGCTTTGTGCATAAACAAAACTGACAAGCTCACAGGACAACTGACATTTTGTTATCCATATAAACACAAATGTAATTGTCAATGTTTCCAGGTGACCGAAGACGGCGATTGGAAGCACGGACACAGGTGATATTTGATGAGTTGCAGATCGCAGATGGCAGGCAGATGGACAGAATGGAAGGCATAAGCCGGGAGCCGGTTAACTGGATGCAACAAGACGCAGCAGCAGCAAGGCAACATGAATTACAGATCGCAGAGCAATATTTTGAACATTTGGGTGCCCTAAATGCTGTTCTTGGACTGGTCGCACAAAGAATGGGCAGCTCCTCTGACTTCCTGCCACCACCCAGGCAGTATGGAGCTATGTATTTGTCCCGTAATTTTTTTTTTATCCGTCTGTCCTTTTTATCAATAAATTTTCAAAGAAAAACAAGGTGTGCATGAATTGTCTTAAACAATTTTGCTCGCAAATTTAAATTTACATAATAAATGTAGATTACATTACAGCCCACCTTAGATATATGTTAAAATGGAAAGGTGCAACAGTTTGTTAAAAGTAAAATAGTGTACTTTATTAAGTTCTGAAAATAAAACAAACATTTCAGTTCAAACTACAGGCTTCCAACAGTTAAAAGTGTCAAAACAATAAACAAAGTAAATGGAAAGAAAAAACACAAATTGAGGTCAGCGGGTGAAGTGTCGCATCAGAGCTTCACGCACATCACTGCCCTCCTCTGCAACTTCCTGCATATTTGCAACCACTGGTTCATCAGCAGGTGCGTCACATTCTGTATATTCCTCCCCATGGCTCTCACAGATATTGTGAAGCACACAACAGGTCAGCACCATGTATTTAAGAAGCTCTACATCACTGTCGTTTCTCTTCAGAAGACATCGCCACCTACGCTTTAGCCTCCCAAATGCATTTTCGACCACAACTCTGGCTCTGGACGTTTTCCTGTTGTACGTCTGTTGTTCAGCAGTGAGACGACCGTTGTCTGAAAATGGTTTTAGGAGCCAGTTCTGTAGAGGATAGGCAGAGTCCCCGAGCACATAAAAGCCTACATTTACTCCCTCTATGTTCTTGGTGCTAGTCGGGTGCAGTTGTCCATGAGCAACCAAGTCCCAAAATGTGGACAATCGCAGCACATGGGCATCATGTAAGCTACCTGGCTGACCTGCATTAACATTCCAGAACATGCCTCTGCCATCCACAATGCCCTGGAGGATTATGGAATGCCAACCTTTCCTATTGAAGTAGTCTGTGTGGAATCCCTGTGGTGCGATTATTGGGATATGGGAACCATCGATGGCACCCACACACTGAGGAACCCCCCACCTGGTCTCAAAATAGTCAGTCATTTCCTGTAGCTTTTGCAGAGTTGGAAAAGCAATAACCTTGGCAAGCAAGATTTTACAGACAGCCTTACAGAAGTCCTGCACACAGCGGCACACAGAGGTCGTGCTGACACCAAAAAGAAGCCCGATGCTCCTGTATTCACTGTTAGGTGCAAGCTTCCACAGTGCAATTGCAATTCTTTTCCTGAGTGGCACGCAGGCTCTGAAGTTGGTGTTCCTCTTCTGCATAGCTGGACGGAGCTTGGAACAAAGATATGAAAAGGTCTCTTCTGACATTCTGAAATGAGCTATCCAATCTGACAGAGGGAAGTTTGGCATGGTCACATCCCAGAAGGCACTGGCACGGCTGAAGGCCCACACAGTTGGTTGCCGTCGCTGATTCAAAAGAGGCAACAAAAAAAAAAAACAGTCATAACACAGTAAAAGTAAAAAGAATAGTGCTGTGAAAAAGACTGAAGCAGTATGGTTATAGACATAAAGTTCACATCAATAGAATTTGTTTAAGGTTAAAATAACAGCTGTTCTTTATGGAGCTACCAGTGACTGGCTATGTTTTGTTCACTTTATTAAATGCACAAATGTGGTATTGCTTGTAATTACCTATATAATTAATTATAATAATTTCAGTACAGCTGCACAACTTATCTATGACATGCCCAGGAAGTAAAGAGCGAAGGATTCAGGCCCTCGTGTTGACTAGCATCACCATGAGTGCAGAAGCTGTTTGAAACTTAGTTAGGTGTTGGCCTTTCATGTTTAGCATGTCTTAAATGATCAATATACAACCAAACCATTTGATTTTGGTGCTTTTTTTAGTTTTTCTTTTTTGATAGTTGCCCTAGACACCCCCTCAGAGATTATAACGACATGTAATACAGCATTAGAAGTTACTTACCACCTGGCGCCTCCGTCTTTGTCTCAACAGTAGAAAGTTATGCCTCGTGTCCGATATTAATTTCAGAAAGCGTTGTCGCCTTTCAGCTGCCCTCCTCCTCGATGTGCACACATAGCTCTAAACGCTATCGTGATGTGGGTGTAAAGAATATACCAAACACCAAGAACAGAAAGAACGCGCTGCTGACTGGACTCCATTGTTGTTGTGTTTTGGCGCGATCTCGTCGCGCTGTGTGACGCATTACGCTACCCCACCAAGTAACTGGAGCCTGGAATGTGATAGAAACGCTTGCCAGAAAACTTCTAGACCCATACCGGTACATACCGGTCCATAATACCCAGACCTGACCGTTCCAGACCAGGCGATGGAAAAGAGCTATAAGAGTTGGACTCCGCCAAGGCTGCCCTTTGTCACCGGTTCTGGTTATAATCTTTATGGACAGGATTTCTAGGCACAGCCAAGGTGTGAAGGGCATCCCTTTTGGTGACCTGAGGATCAGGTCTCTGCATTTTGCAGATGATGGGGTCCTGTTGGCTTCTTCAGAACATGATCTTCAGCTTTCGCTGGAGCGGTTCACAGCCGAGTGTGAAGCAGCTGGGATGAGAATCAGCTCCTCTAAATCTGAGACCATGGTCTTGATTCGGAAAAGGGTAGAATGCCTTCAATCAATCAAAATTTATTTATGAAGCACTTTTCATGCAAATGCAGCTCAAAGCGCTTTACAATATTAAAAACAACCAGACAGCAGTTGGTTTCCCACCCCTCCCACACAGATTCACATAAGAGATCCCCTTTGTTTCTCCCTCCGCACACACTCACACGTAATAGAGAAAGGGCAGCTGGCTGAGTGCAGATGTAGTAGATACAAAGAAGACAAAAATGCCATCAAAGGAGCTAACTGCACCTGGAGCACCAAGATTGGCAGCAATAGCCTTGGCAAGAGTAGACATGGGAAGCACCTCGGCCGCCACAGCCCACCACTGCCCCCGGGACAGCCGGCCCCCACAGAGGAAACACTAGTTTACTAATGAGACTAAGATAACAGTTAAGAAACAAATTAAGCATAAACAGCTGATGAGTAAAAATCTGAACAAAACACAGTGATAGGGATGAGGTCCTGCCCCAAGTGGAGGATTTTAAGTATCTCGGGGTCTTGTTCAAGAGTGAGGGAAAACTGGAGCATGAGATCGATAGGCGGATTGGTGCTGCATCTGCAGTGATCCGGGCATTGTACCGGTCTGTCGTGGTGAAGAGAGAGCTGAGTCAGAAGGCGAAGCTCTCGATTTACCGGTCGATCTACGTCCTTACCCTCACCTATGGTCATGAGCTTTGGGTAGTGACCGAAAGAACGAGATCACGGATACAAGCGGCCGAAATGAGTTTTCTCCGAAGAGTGACTGGGCTCTCCCTTAAAGATAGGGTGAGAAGCTCTGTCATCCGAGAGAGGCTCGGAGCAGACCCCCTGCTCCTCCACATCGAGAGGAGCCAGTTGAGGTGGCTCGGGCATCTGGTCAGGATGCATCCTGGACGCCTCCCTGGTGAGGTTTTCCGGGCACGTCCAACCGGGAGGAGACCTAAAGGTAGACCCAGGACACGGTGGAGGGACTATGTCTCTCACCTGGCCAGGGAACACCTTGGTATTCCCCTGGAGGAGCTGGCCCAAGTGGCTGGGGAGAGGGAAGTCTGGGCCTCTCGCCTTAAGCCGGGCGTACACTGAGCAACTTTTTCAGATGGGAATGGCCCATTACTTGTACCACTGCTGATTTAGTAAGTTGGCTCACTAACAAAGACATGATCACTGATTCTAATGGTGGGTTTATTTGAATCCACTGATGAGACTGAATGATACAAAAACTTGAAGAGCAAATTGCAGGTTGAAATTTTTTTCTAATTCTTATAAAATGCTGCCCAAAAAATCCTATTTGAAATGTTTATCGTGGATATTTAATTTTAAAATGCATTACAGCAGAGTTTTCTAGTAAAAAGTGGCCTTTCTCGGCAAAGCTTCTATAAAGGCTCTTGTTTCTAAATGTGAACCTCTGACATAACCAAAGGGAGTTAGAAGCTTGGTGCTGCCTCAGCTCAGTGTGGAGAGTGGCTAGTTTTAGGGTAGAGAGGTCATGTTATCCAATCAGTGTGTGTGTACACTAGTGTTGGATTGTGTTCATGTTGATAAACTATAGTTTGTGACGGCTGTACCGACTCCAGCCTGTCTGGACATCGAGTCCACGGGTTTCCAGATGAGAGAAACAACGCCTCTATCTCCGTCGCAGAGGGCATTTCTGCAGCTGAAAAGACGGACTTCTGTAGCCCACATTGGTCGGTACCGGGACAGAAAGGTCCGCACTGGGCTCCAGAGACCCGTGGTGGAGTTTAAAAAATGAAATGGGGATTTCTGGAGCTCAGATCACCATCAGAACCAGGTCAGAACCGATCACCAGAAGCGATGCGCGGCTCAGCGGGCCAGTTGGTTTCTGGGTCGGAACTGGATCAGAACCGCTGCCCAGACAACCAGGAGAGGATCATGTGCAGCTTTTAAAAATACCAACTGGACTGGCTTGCTGGTGTTTGGGTCGGGTCCAGCTCACAAAAGCCCGCATGAGCTCCAGAACCGGAAGCTCTCCCTCTCTCTAAGCTAAACTACATTAGGTGAACGGATATTAACGAGTATGAGACCTCTGACAGACGCTCATTAGTATTAATATTATATTAACTGACCGATACTATTTTAATTGTCGGGTACAATATTTTAATGTTAGCACACGAGTTTAAATTTGCATCGTGACCCCCCCCCCCCCCCCCCCCCCCCCCCATCGGGCTGGGCGATATGGGCTAAAATCAGTATCACGATATATTGATGATTTCACCTTTGACGATAAATGAACGATAACTACAGGTATGTGCAGAAACAAAAGTTGTCCACTAGATGAGGCTGTCACATGTATTACCTGAGTCATTACATGACTCAAGGTGGTACAGCTTCTTAAAGGGACATGAACGTCGCCAACCTACACACATCTTTTCATTTTTTATTAAATTTATTGACATGGGGAAAATTATCTCTGAGTCAGAAATTTTGATAACGATAATTTTTTCCATTTATTGCACAGCCCTTGACTGAATCAAGATCTGTTTAATGCAGAAAATAATAAAACATTTTTAAAATTGGGATTAAGTCGCACGCTCCTCTGTGAGAGCGGGGGTGGGGTGGTTGCACACATTCTGCTGCTGTTTCTCACCAGTATCAGCTGATGGAGGGCTCTAGTTTTGTTGCGCCATTCGTGTTGTCGTGTCAGCGGACACGGTAGGGTCGGGGAGGGGGGGCGGGACATGATGCTTAGCCTGGCGGTAGGGCTGCAACAAACGATTATTTGGATAATCGATGAATCGGACGGGGTCTCGACACGATTAATCGATTAATCGGATTACATGGGGAAATTTTTAAAAACTGCTAGGGAAACGTTATTTCTCTCCTTCCTTCACTTTATTTAACACAACATTATTAGAAAACAGTTCAATAGCAGAAAAACAACATGCCATCACCTAAATTGTCTTATAAGGTGTATAGACAGAGACCCTATAAGCTACATCTATCTGTGACCTAAAATGCTTGGTCCAAGTTAAACATCTTAAGGGCAATTCTCATCTGTTTTGTTTGATCTCATCTGTTGACATTTATTATAACTGGGGATGTCAAACAACTAATTTTTAAATGTAATTAAACATAGGCTGTGAATTAATCAAAATTGATCACTATTTCCAAAAATGACTGAAAAAATACCAAATAAAACAAAAGTAAATGAATGCCATCCTCCTTGCGATGATGCCCTGGGCAACTGCCATAAAGTCACATCAAGAAATGCTGCTGATCATTCCAATGATCCCAAGTAGACTCACATTAGGCCACATGAAAGCAACTGAACCCAAAAATATATTAACCAGTATATACTGCACTCTCACACAACACGCCTGCAGCAACAGTTAGGACTCCTCCCTCCCTTTTAAAAGCGTTTTTGCTTCCGAGGACATTGTGGTTGTAAAACCACATGCTAGTAGTCTGGCCCCGGTGTGATCAACCAGTTTCTGCGGGAATGTGACGGCGGAACCAGGGCCAGATTAACACTTTGTTGTACCCTGGGCAACAATATTCAAAGGCTCCATCATCACGACCCGAGGATCACCATAATGTGGTCACATACAGAATATTTTACTGTAATATGCAGTAAATATACTCAATACTTGAATGCCTGACAACACGTAACCCGCCCAGAGTAACCTTTGACCCACCTCGTGTGGACTGACCAATGAGGAGAGGGTCTTAACCTGAGGCCCACTCTTCATTGGTCAGTCTGCATGAGACTGACTCTCAACTGACGTTCAGTCATAGGCAGCGAAGCGTCTCTGTGCAGTGCAAAAGCCCGGGTGGACAGTTTGTTTAATGTAGGGTGACCATATTTCCATTTCCAAACAAGAGGACAGGGGATCTGTGCCTATGACGTCACACTATGGCAACGCCACACAAACCATGTTGGGACCCATTTTTTGTAAGAACTAAATTAATATCAGATTCTGCCAATAAAAGGGCTCTAAAACAATTCATATGTAAATATTTAGCATATTTACTGCAAAATCTAATTTTTCTGCTTTAGTGCTGCAACAAGGTTTTATTAATAATAAATTATTATACCTTTTGTTTTACTACAGCATTGGTAAGCTTCCTGTGCACAGATTATTAAGTATGCTTGTTTCAGCTGTGAGATTAGACGATAAGATTAATGAAAAAATAAGTTGTCCCACACTCCATGGAAACTTTCAGAGAATCCACAAATAGGGTTTTGTTACTTTTAGCAAGTTTATAAAAGAAGCAGATGAGACAGCATGTCTGATAATTTAGTTTTTCATCTGATAATATTAGAACATGTCTGTAATGTCTGAGGGGCTTTTATAAACACTGTATAACTAACACTACTGGAGAGGGCATGAATTACACAGAGGCTTCTGGGGGGGGGGGGGGGGGGGGGGGCATTTTGCCTTGGCCCCCAAAATGTCTTGAAACGGCCCTGGGTGTGTGACTGAGTTTTGAAGGTGATCTGAATTGTATCAGATGTATAAATATTACATGTGTATAACTTATTGTTTTATACAGGTAAAAACGTGTAGTGGAGATAAATCTGCCGACATTTGACTTTTCAACACTTTGTTTTGTTTTCTTGTTTTTATTTAACTATTTTCCTGTCCTGTCTGTCTCTCATCTTCCTGCATCTCCTCTAAACTCTCCAGAAAAACTGCTGCCTGGATTCTTACTTTTTCACCTCTTCAGTTACTTTTGAGCAGATCAAAGGGATCTCCTGACCGCAAAGCGGAGAGCGCGTTTTCGATGCTGCGTGAGGTGAAATCACCACAGCACAGGTGATGAGCTCCGCAGTAGCACGCATCAGGCACAAATAAGACAGAAAATAGAGAACATGTGCAGACATGAACGATCGTGTGCTAATTATAGTTTTTTGGTTGCGCCACTTTGAGAATGGACCGTAGGCTGGAAGCAGATGCCTGGATCGCTGCGCAACAACGCGCTGTGCCGCTCTTTGCTCAAAAGAGTCCAAAATGATATAATATAGAAAACTTTTTTTCCGGCTCTCCTGGATGTGTAGGATATCCAGCTCCCCCATAATTCGATCCCTGCTCCTGGATGAAAAGCCGGACATTTTCATCAATACAAGAACCCGCAGTCCGGACGCCCGGTGAAAAGTGAAAAGTGGACAAGTCCGGGGAAAACGGAACATACGGTCACCATAGTCCTCATAAAGCGGGAAATTATAGATACAGTATTGTGCTCGTGCCCTGGACCCTTTAGAGTTCGTGGGCCCTGGGCAATTGCCCAGTTAATCCGGCCTTGGGCGGAACTGGTTCGCAGCAGCGCGAACCTTGCGCTGATCTGCCGGCTCCGCCGGCTCTCCCTCGCGCTGATCTGCCAGCTCTCCCTCGCGCTGATCTGACTTGCTCTGCGCGCAACGGCAAGCGGGAAGGGGGGGCGCTTTTGGGAGAGTTGTGCGACACAACGAATCGATGACGCAATTCGTTGCCAACGCTTTTAGTAATCAATTTTCATCGAATTTATTGATTCGTTGTTGCAGCCCTACCTGGCGGGTGGGCAAGCAAAGCCTGGCGGGCCGCCAGGCTTATTAAGCTCTGGGGGAAACCCTGTATGTTCCACTATAATCGATTATGGTGTATACTTCTACGATGCAGAATCATGTATGTCCGCATCTTGATGCATCGATTATTTGATTATTTTTCTCAGCATTACAGAGCACCATCCGCCTATCCTCTCTAGAGGGAGTTTTGAATTCTTTAGCCTTCAAGGCCACATAGGGGAGCCAACATCAGATAACACAATTGTTTTGGAACAGGCAAGAGATTAGTTTTCCTTTATTTTCCAGCCTTTTGGTGAAATGTAATCACCATTGTCCTTATGTTGTTTTTGAAAGAAAACACAAAAATCTCATGTATTGTAGGTAAAGTCCAGACTGTATGATCATGACATTGTACAATTTTCATTTTACATCTTAATCCTTTCAGCACTGACCACAGTAATTATAGATACAGCTTCAACATTGTTTTGAAAATGTCACAAGAACGTGTAATAATTTACGGAATGAGGAAAGCTGAATTGATTCACAAATTTAAAAAATCGTAAATTTCTTTATTTCTTTATTTATCTTTATTTTGAACACAAAAAAAAAATAAAAATAAAAAGTACAACAACGTAGAATTCAAAGAGACAAATAATTACCTCAAAACAAATAGAAAAAGAAAACGAGCAGTCACAACTAATAACAGGGTGACAATTTTACACCCTAAATCCCGTTTTTTCTTAAATCATAGAGCTCAGCGATACACAAACGTCACATATCTTCAGCAATCCATTAGTTGTATTAATTGCTAAATAATGTTTTAATGATTTTATCTGATTAAAAAAAAATCAGTATTTTTGTCAGGATTTCCCTGCTCTCAGTCGTTGTTAGGCTGTTTGCACTCAACATCAGGCCTTGATAAAGACATGGTTTGGTTTTGATTCTCAGGTCTGCTCAGTTAATTAATTTTTTTAACAGTTAAATGAAAAAGCACCTGATCATTTCATGTGATGCAACTTCTGCAGTTGCATGGTCTGATCCCATTTCTGTGAAAGAGCCTGATGGATTTGTTGACAGTAGGCTGGCATAGCTGTTTTCTCATGTTGGAATCCAGCTCATGCCTCAGTTGCCTCAGGCGCTGTGGGATGTAAAGCGTTGAGGAAAATCCAGACAGTAGCAGCCCAGGTTTTCACCTTCAAATCACCTTGGTTTAAGTGTAAGAGATTTAAATAAACATTGCAAAGTGACATTTTCTGTTTAATAAAGATAAATCTACTTTGAGTTATTTTGTCATTTAGCTTAGTCTCATTACAATTAACAATTATTTGTTATGTTGTGTTTGATTTCCAGGAACCTGCTCAGCTTTACCAGAAAACCCGGCTCGTTGTGTGTTTGGCTGCCAAAATGCTTGGGTTACAGGGGAACACTTCAACTCCCAGGGTGTATCGCTGTGTGGCATGTTCAGACACCTTCACTGGATTAGCATCGTTGCTCGTACATCAAGCGAGTCATGCAGGCATGCTCTCCAAAGTCTCTGCTTCCTCACCCTCTCAGTCTACCACCAGCTTGCAAGAGAGTTTGTTCACAACCCCAGAGCCAGCAGGTCCACCTGCCATGTTACTTGAAAGTCCCTCGCCTTCTTTTTACATTTGTGATTGCGGAGAAGAATTTCACAACTTTGATCTTTTGCTGGAGCATAAACGGTCTCATGTCCCTCAGCTACTGCAGCCCTTCGCCAACAATGATGCTCGTCTTGGAGAACAGTGTAACAATGTTTTTCTTTCACAGCAGGCATCTTTCACTGTGCCACGGCAGGCAGGGTTAGACCTTAGTTGCCCTTCTACCTCCATGTCCACATCGCATGAAGCATCTACATCAAACTCCCATGCAGCAGATGTAGCCCTGGAGGACCATGTTGCCATGGTAACCTCTCCTCTTGGCCAGTGCTCTCCCCCTCAAGATGTCAGCTTGAAACGGACTGAAAACATGCCCACTGTTTCAGAGAATGTGCTAGGGAGTGATGAAGAAATCCATTTAGAGGACCAGTCCAATTCCGTTCACGGTGCAACGGGTGAGAATTTGCCCAAAAATGACATTCTAATGAGGTTGCTAGCATCGGCTTACAAGAACCACTATCCTCCTCCTTTGTCTGAGAATCAAAATGATAACAAAGTCGTCCCCAAACAAGAAGCCATACCGGTTGAAATAATAGGTGTGGCTAAACCTAAAGCGTCTTCAGTCAACGATCATTCAATTGCTCAGTTGAGACGACTTCTCACTAAACCTGGTATAAAAACAAAAGCCCCGTCCATTAGCAAAATCCTTGAATCAAGTAAGAAAAGGGTTGTCTCTCTAACCAAGACTTTGTCTCCTGTTGTGGTTCTTGAGACTCGCCAAAAGCTTGTGGATCCAACTTGTAAAGGCGCATTTGGGAGATATCAGTGTGGCCGCTGTCGTAAAGTCTTTTTGAACTTGGACAAACTAACTGAGCATCATTTCCTGCACAAGAAGGAGAGGATTAAATGTTGCCGTCGTTGCAAACAGCTCATTATTGGACGGTTGCCTTTGCCTGACAATCATGTTTGCCCACAAATGGGAAGCAAGAGCGTTCAGCCAGGAGGCTCTCTTAAAAACAAGTTACCGTTTACTCCCAAAACGGTGCCATTCCACTCCCTGAGCAATGGCAAAAAGGGTTATCACTGTTCGTTGTGTAAACGCAGCTATGCACGAAGATGGAACCTAAAAATGCATCGGTGTCCCGGTCAGTTGTCTCTTGTATCCAGGCAGATTAATCCCTCCATGCGAATGTTCACAATGAGGGCAAACAGCACCAAAACTAATGTAGGTCATGAAGAGGAACGTCACAAGAGCGTTGCTGTGGGCACTGAAGCTGCTTGCCATGTCAAAGTGGAAAGTACTTCACCAAAATCTGAGCAGTCTGCCAACTTGCAGCTGGCCTGGACTCCTGCAGCGATGAATTTCAGCCCCTTCCCCATAACGGAGCCACATCAGAGTCCTGCCCTGGCTTCACTCCAAGGAGGAGAAGTGGAATCATGGGATGCAGACAGACTTGATGACGAAGATGGAAAAGAGAAGTGGGCGATGCCCCTGGATGATGAATCGCACATGTTTAGGTCGGCAGATAAAGGTGTTGAAGATGGACTGGGAAAGCAGTCTGGATCTGCTGAACACCTAGAGGTGGCACCGCACAGCCTGCGCTATTTTGTCGCTGATGGTGTAAAGCGTTACCCTTGTAATAGGTGTCAGAAAACCTACAGCCGTGCATCGACTTTACGGCGTCACTTGCGACTGTGTGGCTTCAGGCCACGAGGGTTTGGGGCTGTAGCTCCGATTCCAAGCCAGGGTGCCATCACACTAAATTCTGGTTTTGTAAAACCAATGTTTTCCTGTTTTTTCTGTGGGAAGTACTTCAATCGCAAAGATAACATGATGGCTCACAGAAAGAGGTGTCAGTTCCAGCGAACCATGTCTGGTGCGGAGAGAGTGACGGTGCAGCAGAACTTAACAGGCGATGCAGCAGACTGTCAAACCCAGAGGGATGATTCGGGAAACTGGGGCATTATGTCCCTGCCTTCTGTACTCCCAAGAAGGGTGACATGTGAGTGTGGGGTCGGATTTACGTCTCCAAGGCTCCTCCTGGAGCATTTGCAAAAGCATGCACAAGAATCGTACACATGTCCAACTTGTGGAGAAACGGTTAATTCCTGGGCTCAATATGAGGTTCATTTGCAGATTCATATGCATCCTCATCACCAGCTGATGAAGGGATTACAGCCAAAGCGATCACAGCCTATTTTAGTCAGAATACAGCAGCCCCAACAACAGCAGCAGCAGCAGCAACAACAGCAGCAGCAACAGCAACAACAGCAGCAGCAGCAGCTGCTGACCCAGTCAGTGCTGCCGCCTCCACTGAACCCTCCACAGGAACCACCACACCCAGAGCTAATTTCTCGTCCAGCCAAAACACAGCGGATTGTGTGCACTAGATGCGGTAATACTTTTGCATCCCGCTGTTCCTTGCGAAGGCACATTTCCTGGAATCGCTGCAAAGGCGTGCGAGTTTCAAATCCACCTAAAACCTTCCACTGTTCCCACTGCAATGCAGACTTTCCAAATACACTCAGTCTAATGTTCCACCAGAGAAGTGGAACATGCAAACCTGCCATCAAGCCAGTTCGCTGCCCCGTGTGTCTTCGCTGGTTCGGGACAATGGACAGTCTGGAGAAACACATGCTGACTCACAAGCAGTCTGAATCCTATCAGTGTGACGTCTGTCAGGGGACCTACCCGAGCCTGAAATCCCTCAAGAACCACCGCAGGAGGATTCATCGCATCCTGATTGGAAACTCTGCCTAAAACACAAGAACCACAGACTTCCTAATGATGCTCGTTTTTACTGAAAAGGGTGGAAAATGAAGTAGTAAATATATAAATAAAGACAAGAGTCCATTTTACTCTACTTCGATCCCTGTGTTACTGTTGTTCCTGATGTTCACATTGCAGGAGTTGTTTGGACATTGCACAGCCACAAATGTTTTTGAATACATTTAAGAAGTAAGCCCATCTTGTCACTATAAAAACAGCAGCTTTGATTATTTGTACATTTTAGATTTTCCTAGTCAGGTCTTTTATTCTTCAGCCACATTAGCCTGTAAATGTTGAAATGAGGTTTGGTTATCAAGCTTCCTTCATAGTGAAGTAGCTTTTTGTTGTTCTTGGTGTTAATAAATAGGAGTCTGGAAAACATCCTGGTTTAAGTGTGAAAATAATGTTTCATTTACAATAAAAAAATGTTGATTTAATGAAATGCAGAGCTGGAACTAACAAGAATCCTATAATTGAAGAAAGTTGTTTTATGAACATTTGGTCAACGTTAGCTTTTTTTCAATGAGAGAAAAAAATGCACAACTCTAAAGCAGATCTAAAGACATTCAGCTTTAATGTTTAATATTCTAAGACTTAAGGTTCAGCTTTTAGATGCAGCTCAAGAAAGGTTCAAGTTTGTGGTTAAAAATGTGAGTTTAATAGTATATCTACATTCTAGCTGTAGCTCTCATGACCTTTTGTAATTTCGTTTGTTTAAACAAAGTCACTAAAATACGATCGTTGGGAGTAGTAGGTTAAAGTAATTTTGGTCCGTTTAATGTTTAGCAAAGAATAACAAACATGCACATCCAGATATTTTCTACTTTGGTTATTTTTTCAAATATGAATTTATTAGGTTTTCAAAGAGTTTAGATATATTGAAGTTTTAATTTAAATGAAAGATTTCTTACTAAATGCGTTATTTGGGATGCAAAGAAAACATAAATATTGCTAATATTACCTGTATTTGACATTTAAAGAAAAAATACAGTTGCCAGCAACTTTAGGTAAATCCCATGTGTGTGTATATTTAAATGTGTGTGTGTATATATATATATATATATACATATATGTATATATATATATATATGTATATATACATATATGTATATATACATATATGTATATATATATATACATATATGTATATATATATATGTATATATATATATATATATATATATACATATATATATACATATATGTATATATATATATACATATATGTGTGTAAATATCACTGATTGCGGTGGTATCATACATGGTATTTTATGACATTTAAATTTACTCATAAATGTACTGATGGGGAATTTAAAAAATTTCTCAGTTAACATAACTGATTCAAACTATCATAATAACTTATAGTTATTTATCAAAGATTTGATAGTAAGACATTACAGGCAAGGGGTAACCAAAATGGAAGAGAATCCATTACAAATAAACCCCACAATTTTATCAAAACCATTTTAAATGTCTCAAAATAAGACATGGTGACAAAACTTGTGCAAAAGAGTATATTATTGAATAACGATACATGAAGCCTGAAACATGTTCAAACAATTTCTAAACAAAATGTCAGGTGTCATGTAATTTAAGATATAAAGCAGCATCATTCCAATTAGGACCACTGATCTATCGAGTAAAGGTTCCATAATCAGCATTTTCCTTTGCTAGGCTGGAAAACATTGGAGAAATAATATCACAAGTCAAAATGGCACATCCTAAAATATTTCATCAAAGTAATTTCTCAAAAAATACTCTTGTTTTTATTTAGTAAATCTGTGTCATCCCAGAAGTGGTGCATCTGTGTTGAAAAAATCTGACAATTTAATTGCAATTAAATTTATTTTATGGTTGCACCTTCGAAATCATCAGAAATGTTGGGGTGGAAAAATGATCTGTTTGAAATACCTCCGGGAGGTGGCAGTATACTGTGGGGTAGTCGGATGTAGCGCTGCTGAAAGGCGCGCTCTGCAGAAGAAAACGTTTCCTCTCCCCCTCCTCTTGTTTAGAATGAGGGAAGAGAAAACAGCTACCTGCCTGTGCTAACACCGGTGAGAGAGGCAAGAAGTAGATGTCCAACGGAACGACATTAGACTAACTGTAACATCGTCCTGTTCACGCTATGTCACGGTTCTGATTCATTCTCACTTTTACGTGAAGGTAAGTTGACGCTAAAACGTCGGCGAGCCAGTTCAGGCTAACGTTAGCATACCGTGCTAATAACGAGGCTATCCCGCGTTTATAGACCGTTAATAAACCTTGTTTATACCCAACATATCTTATAAATACTTGTTTAGCGAAATGTAACCAATACAGTATCTCATTGTTTCTGTTATTGGGCGATGGTTGAATCCAAATTTGGTTTACGTGAAGAGAGAGGACGTTCATAAGTTTTTGTGCCTTTTTACAACAGTTATTGGATGAGGAGGCCAAATTGTTTTTCCTGTGCTTCAGATTTCTTCACGCTACATAAATCAAGCAACCCGTGATGGATTATTTTTCTGTCCGGTTTCTAAGCCTGATTTAACGTATGTAAAGGAGATTTCACTTCATACTTTGTGTCTCCCATGTGGCATATAAATCTGAGACGATTAGTCGGTTTGTGTAACCCTTTCTAAAGTCCTAAAACGATATAATTTCCATCTTGTTGCACCGTGGGTAGCATGATGAATTTGCAGGTAGCTTTGATTCCCTGCAGCGGAAAGATCTCCCGTTTGAATCCCGACTGTGGCCTTTCTGTCCGGAGTTAGCATGTTTTCCTCATGCATGCGTGGGGTTTCTGCTGCGGCTTCCTCCTGACCAAAAACGTGCATATTCGGTTAATGGGACACTGAAGTATAAGTGAGTGGGAATGGTTCTCTATGTATGTTCCTGTAATGGATTGGAGACCTGTCCAGGATGTCCCCCGCCACTTCCCAGATAACTGCTGACGTTAGGCACCAGCTCCCTGAGATCATATTGAAGAAAAGCGGTTCAGATGAGAGTGGGTTAGCTGCTCGTCTTTATTAAGACTTTGTTTACATATTTGTTCGATTCATGTCATGAGTTGTACTTATTTGTCGCATCAAATTATTTAATTTGCTGATGATTTTATGCAGTACATTATTAATTTATTGGTGTGTTTAAATCCAACCATTTTCTGTTTGTACTGTTACCCCTCCCTCCCTCTGCTTGTTATATTATTTCTTTCAGCAGCAAAGGTGTTCTAGAGGGCTCAACATCAGCAGTGATCACACCTCCAAGCCCAGCCTGGTTATGAAGAGCGTAAACAAGATGCAGCAGATCTTCCTGATGGATGGTGTCACTGAAGACTTTATGGATAGGGGACATGTTTGCTTCAACTGTGAGCAGATATTCGCTAATCGAAAATGCCTGGAGGACCATGTGTGTCCCAAAACAAGTTTCATTTGCTCTTGTGGAACAGAGTTTACTCTGTACAATGACATGCTGGAGCACAGCGACACACATGAGCCAGGGCATCAAGCGCTTGATCATAGAGTCATAAAGAAGCGCAGGTTTGAGAAGTACAAAGAGGAGGAGGCGAAACTCAAAAGGCTGCAGAAAGGCGATGTTATTTGGAGTGCACCATCTGTTTCAGGACGCAACACTTCAGCTAATACTTCACAAAATTCTGTGAGGACTCTGAATGTTAAACAAGTACCTGAGATGAACCCCAGTCTGTCTGAAGCATCTCTTTCAAATACTCTCCCCTCTGCAAAAGACACACAGAAAACTATTTCAAGTGCTGGTGCACCGACTGTGGATCTCTGGACACTTTATCAGCCAGTTGTGCTTTTGAAACCAATTCGCAAGTTTCCAAAGCCATACACGTGTGGCAAATGTGGACAGGGTTTTATGTCGAAGGTCTCTCTCACTTCCCACAGCAACTCGCACGTCGCAGATAAAGTTTGTGGATGTATAGGTTGTGGCCTCTTGCTCTCTAGTAGAAAGTTTGTGCCTCGCTTCCATACTTGTACCTCCCCAACAAGTAACAGCAAATTCAGGCTCATCACGGCTAAACCACCACATTTTAAGTCACCAAATGTAAGAAAAAATCTCTTTGCTCAGCAACGTTTGGCTACTTCTGCTGGGCAGCTTAAAAATCACAGTCCTACTACACCTGGTAAAGGTGTTCAAGTGTCTCGTACCACCTCACCGAAGAAAAACATTAATATAAAAACATACAAAGGTAACATTACTCAAGGGGCTCCAGTCCGTACACTTTTGCCGGCAAAGCGCCAGAATCCCACTGCGATCAAGGCTGTTGCTGGTGCCTCCAAGAGTTCAAACTCCAATGAACTCAACCAAAACGGTCAGAAACATTCTGTCTCTTCAAATGCAGACCTCCCAGGCCCTGCAAACCAAGCTCCACTGGATGCCGATGCTGAGTTCAAGTGTCGGGTCTGTCATCTGCCTTTCAAAACCCCTCTGATACTTCAAAGGCACAAATGTATCAAAGCACAGGAGTTTATGGCAAAGCATTTGATGGCTGGCAAATCGCAGCAGAGAATCACTAGGCCAGCAGTGAGACCCATTTCTGTCCAGGTAAACGGCAACAAGAAGCCAGAATGTTCACCCTCTGTTAGCGCAAAGAAGAACCCAATTGCACCCGTCAATCTGGACAAAGGAAAGTCTGACGTTCCTGTAAATGGGAACACAGTGGTGGATGATGATGATGATGATGACTGTTACATTGTTGAGGGTGGGTCAGAAAAACCTGCTGAGGTGATTTACCAAGTGACCTCATCTGTACCCATCAAGAGTTGATGGGTCATCTGCGGGTGCTTTGGCTTAAAAAACAAGGCAACTAAAGTGTTGAATGGCTCACTGCTTTTAAAGTCCGAGAGTAGTACTGCTAATGCGTTTTTGTTCAGATTAGTATGACGGTAAAGTAATGATTCCACAAGAGTGTAATGTTGCCCCTAGAATGGAACTGTGTTATTCACTGAAACTCGTGCATAGCTTTTCTGTGTTTGATGAGATAACCAGTTACTGTATAATAGTCTTTGTTTCTGTGTTTTCATTCTGTTTTAGTAGGACGGGAATGTGTTGTGAACCTGTGGGACTCCGCCCTAATTCCTTGTGTGTTCACGCCAGATTGTTGAAGTTTATTGATACACCATATAAGGCATTAAAGTATATTTTCAAACTTGTAGCTTTTTAATTTTTTTTATACAACTTAAATAAACTGTCTTTTGCCATGAAATGAGATGGGAAATATTATGTCACATGGATTATATTTAACCACTATTATAGATCAAAATAAAGTATCATTTATTTTCTATTACCCAGATAAATACCAGTTTGGCACAAATATGAAATTAATGGACTTATTGTAGATTCATATTAAGTTTTCTCATGGGATTTTCTCCTGTCAAGGAGTTACACTTAAGCAGCTGTATAATGTACTTTATTCAAAATTATCATCAAACTACATATGCTGTCAGTCAGGTACCTGAACTGCAGTAGAAATGATGGGAAATTTAAAAGAAAACTGAAAACATGGCTGCTGGGAACATTAAAGTAGTTTAAAACCTCTGCATGGCGTTGTAAACAAGCTTCATTTGAATTAATGGAGTTATAAGTCTGTTGTGATGGAGATTCCCCAACTTCTTGGTTTATTAGATTGTTTTTGTCTATGGTTTATTATTATGTGTTAATCCAGCAGGGTGCGCAGTTTACTTGAGTCCATTAATGATGATGTCATCAACATGAGTTGAACACGTTGGTAGTACCAAATTTGTCCACTGAGCGTTACGTAATAAAATTACCCAAAGAACATACAATACACAAATTTAATTAAAATCTGCATAAGTTTGTGTCCTTAACATGTCCCATTTCTAAATGTTGCCTTCACACAAAAATGTTATGCTTCTTTTGGAAACTTTTGAGGCCACATACAAATATTAACGAGTAAAATGACGGCAGAGGACTAGGAATAAAAGGATCTATCAATAAGTACGTGTTGATCACATGGTTTAGATTTTTTTCCGAGCAAATTAAGGTTTATGTTCTATAACTGCCTATTTATAATAAATGTGACTGTACCGACTTGAGAAAAATCTGTGCAATATTCACATTTTTCATCTAATCCCATTTCGAATTTTAACTAGGTTCACAAATAATGTTAGTGTGAGTTTAGAGTATAGGTCTTACATCGTTCACCTATAATTTGATGGGACTTTGAACTAACATTTAATCCTGTACTTCTCGGGTGTACTTGGAAAACTTCGCGCGTCTAAGGTTTATTCTAAATTGTGATATTTCCGAGGCGAACTGAAGTCTCCGCGCTGTGGTGATTAACGTGTGTTATTCTGCTTTGTGCAAGGAACCGAGTTTCCCAAAATACCGAAAATTACTTCAAAACGAACTCGGAGCTAACAGCTCGGTTCCCAGGTCGATGTCTCCCGGTGAAAGTGACTTCACAGCCACGGAGGTTCGGATTAGCCGGTGCTAGAAAGAGCAGCAGTCGGCGCAAGCAACGCAGAAAGCTGCCTCGACTCTTCAACACACAGGCAAGCACTTTGTATTTACCCTTTAACTTGTGTTGTTGGTGTTAGGAAATGGTGTCCGCACACCTCATTAGTTATGAAAGTCGTTACTCGTTAAAGCAAACCGGAGTTAACGGTTTGGTACGTCCGGTGTGTCATGCTTAATTAGCGCAGCTAGCTGCGTGGCCTGCAACTAGCCCCACTTTCATTAGACGTGCTTTCATTAGCTTCTGGTGTAAACGAGGCTAAAAACGTGGCTTTAACCAGCAAGAGTAGCTTTCAGACGATCGTAACCCCATGTTCGTTGGCGCATGTGTGTGTGTGTATGTTCTGATCAAACTGGAGTGCATGTTGAAATGCTCAATCGTTTGTTTGCTTTTGTTTAGCACGTCTTATTTTGAAAAGCGTGTGCTTTGTGTGCAGAATAACAACCTAGAGGTATGCGCAGACTTTTTCTAAGTATTAATCAATTTTGCACGTTGGGATTGTGCCAGAAGAGTTGTTGTTTTCTTTTGATCAACATTCACAGACCATCATGCATGCAGTTGGTTCATTATTGAGATGTTTTTTTTGTTGTTGTTTTGGAGATTTTTAGATGGCACATACCAGGCACTGTGTTACTGAAAATGTTTGCTTTAACCTACAGGCTTTTGACATGGGGAGTAAAATGTCCTTTGGCAGAGGGAGCGGTGGCCAAACCACAGTGTCAGAGTTAACTTGTGATGCACCTCTTCCCCTCAGTTTCATTCATGAGTCTTCAGACTGCAAACAGGTAGCCAGTCAAATAAAAAAATAAACACACAACCTAGAATTTATGCTGTTAAATGGAGAACAAATATCAAAACTTGAATAAAATCAATGTAATTATGATTCCTAGCTGATATGGGTGATTTGGCAATAATTCTGGTTTTCAGGGCCGATACCAACTTGGCATTCTTGTACAGCTTTATATGCTGATTTCTGATGCACTCCAAAGTTACGTTTCTAGATGTAAAAACATCCACACAGATTATTTGTTACTGCTAGCACAAATTAGAAAATAAATTATCTTTTAAGTTGTTCCTCTCTAGATAAAAATCATGAGGCACTTCACAAGAACAAAAAATTAAAAATGCAAACAATTCTATTAAAAGTCATTTTAAATATGGTTTAATTAGAAAAAAATAAAGATTGTGATTAAAAATGCAAGGGAAGGGAAAGAGGAAATGAATAGTAAAGAGGGAAATCAGTGGATCTTGGAAAGGGCAGAATTGGTAGAAAGAGCAGAGTAAGGAGAGGGTGGTGAAGAAGGTCACACAAAAGCCAGCTTGAACATGTGAGTTTTCAGCTGCTTTTTAAAGGAGACCACTGAGTCCACTGATCTCAGGCTCAGGGGAAGAGAGGTCCAGAGTCTGGGGGCCACAGCAGCAAATGATCTGTCACCTTTGGTCTTTAGCCTGGTGCTGCACAACCAGTAGGCTTTGATCACTGGACCTCAGGGACCTGCTGGGGGTGTAGGGACTAAGAAGATTATCAATGTAAGATGGTGCTTGTCCATGTAAGGCCCTATAGACCAGAACCAGGATCTTGAAATGAACCCTGAAGTTAATCGGCAGCCAGTGAAGCTGGAGGAGAAGCGGGGTGATGTGGGTGTGTGTGGGTGTGTTTGGAGGACTTGGTCAGAAGCCGAGCACAGGCGTTCTGAACCACCTGTAGACGGTTCAGGGAGGTTCTGCTCAGACACGTGAAAAGAGAGTTACAGTAGTCTAAGCATGAGGAGATGAAGGTGTGGAGAACTGTCTCAAGTTCAGAGCGGGACAGAATGGGACTCAGCTTAGCAATGTTCCTGAGATGGAAGAAGGAAGGGCGAACAAGAGAACTGACATGAGAATCCAGGATGAGAGCTGGGTCAAAGGTCACACCAAGATTCCTGACAGAAGGTTTGGTGTGAGAAGCAAGCTGACCAAGAGAGTCTCTGACTTTGGGAACCAGCTTGTCTGGGGCACAGATGAGGATCTCAGTCTCATCTTCATTCAGCTGTAGAAAGCTCCCAGCCATCTAGGTTTTGGTAGAGTCTAAGCAGGTGTGTAACAGCTGCAGTTTAGACATCTCATGGGGCTTAAAGGAGATGTACAGTTGGATGTCATCTGCATAAAGATGGTAGGAGATTCCTTTGAAGGAGCTCAGGATGTACTGAAGAGGAAACAGATAGAGGAGGAAGAGTAGAGGCCCCAGCACAGAACATTGCGGGACACCATGGGTAAAGGTGAGGAGCAAAACTTGGAGACGGCCACAGAGAAGGAACGCTCAGACAGATGAGAGGAGAACCACTCCAGAGCAGATCCTGATAGGCCTACCCAGTCTCTCAGCCTCTCCAGTAGCAGGTGATGGTCAGCAGTGTCAAAGGCTGCAGTCAGGTCCAGCAGGACCAGAACAGAACAGTCCTCTGCATCACTGCGAGTCAGAAGGTCATTAGAGACCCTAAGAAGAGCTGTTTCAGTAGAATGAGCTCTACGAAAACCTGACTGGAAGCAATCATAGATGTTATGTTCATCAAGAGCAGCTGTGAGTTGTTTAGCCACAACCTTTTCTAAGATCTTGGAGATGAACGGAAGTTTAGAGATGGGTCTGAAGCTGCTATGGAGAGAGGGGTCGAGACTCGGTTTTTTTGAGAAGCGGGTGGATTACAGCATTCTTAAAGTAAGCAGGGACCTGACCAGAAACCAGAGAAGCATTAATTATAGAGAGCACGCTGGGACCGATGGACTGAAAAGCACTTTTAAACAAAGATGAGGGTAAGATGTGGAGGGGGCATGCAGAGGTCTTCATAGAGTTAACTAGTTTGGTTAACTCAGGCAAAGAAACAGGAGCAAAGCTATCTAGGATGATGGGCCTGGTTGGAGTCGGGAGAGGCGGCGATAAGGCTGAAGGAGAGATGCTAGAGCTAACCTTATTGACTTTGTCCACAAAGAAAGACAGAAAGTTCTCACAGTCTACAACAGAGTGGATGGAGAAAGTAGGAGAGGCAGGAGAGACGATGCTGCTGATGGTGTTAAACAGCACCTTGGGGTTCCCTTTGCTCTGGGACACCAGGTTGGAGAAATAGGAAACCCTAGCGTCTCTGACTGCAGAGTTAAAGGGTGTCAGAAGATCCTTTAGATGCAGCAGATGGATGTGGAGATGGGTTTTCCTCCACAAGCGCTCAAACTTTCTGCATTGGAGCTTCAGGCTGTGAATGTCATCGTTAAACCAGGGAGTAGGGTTCACTGCAGGAACTGATCTGGTTCTGACAGGACAGATGTTGTCTAACCCTGGTGAGCTAAGGGATCCGGAGAAATGTCAGTTTCTTAATTGTTTTTTGATAGTGGTGCATTCATGGAAAGAGAACAAAATGAGATTTCTGAGTTTCAGATTGATCATTCTCAAGTTTTGCCATAGTCAGCAATCGTCTGAATTTTAGCCAATTTTGATCACCAACTACTGCATCTCTACATATAAATGGTTTTAATTTTATAGTAGTAGAAAATAGCAATACAATGAAATATCACTCTATTTTTATGGTATTGAGTTTTATTAACAATCTACATGCAAACATATTTCTTTTGTCTCCAGCAGCTAGGTGGCAGCAGCTCTTACTTCCTTCATTCTGATGGAAAAACGAGATCTTGCAATAAAACTGGATGTTTCTCAGAAGCTTGTGGCCTTAGTTTTCTAATTAAAGTCAGTCTGAAAAATCGCAAATATAGTTGGCTTCTGAGATACATCTTATCGTCTCTCCTGTATTGTGACTCTTTCTAAAACACAGGCCTATTTTGCAGTGCAGCATATCAGAAAGCAACCTACATTTGTAGCTGCTTTACTTGCCAATTAGCATTAATATTTTGAACAAAAAAATTCTCATCAAATAAAATACCACTTGAGAAGTTAGCAAGAAATTATTTATACGTTAATAAGTTTTTTCTATTCTACAGGTGGATGATCAGTGTGCTGAGGACACCCGGTTAGGAGGTGAAATGAAAGAGATGAGTGAGCGAACGCCTGGATCAAACTCATCTGGACACCCAGAGCCTGACAGTCATGTCGGGTCTGAAACAAGCAGCAAAACAAACTGTCAACAGACTGAAGCTGTGTCATCAAAGGGGAGGATGAGCACAAGATCTCAGGTGAGCGCTACCGGCACCTGGAGCTCTACCACAAATGTTCTCATAGACATCCACAGAAGACGCAGAAGGCCTCGTGAAGTACAACCACCGCTGACTCAAGAAAAAACAGATCCAGATGCTGCTGGAGCTGATGCTGTTCACAATATGGAGGTCAGCACCACAATACCTTCTCCTTCAGGTTTGATCAGCCATAGCAGTGAAAATGTGCCTAACATTGTGGGCCGTCACTTAATTAACCCTGCAGCTCAGAACGAGATGTCAGGTCCTGATGCTGTCTTCAAAGATGAACCAGAGGAAGTTGTCCTTTTGGTGACAAAAGAAAAAAGTGCCCAGCCAAAAAGACCTAAGGTAGCAGCTAACGACACTCCATCTGTTTCTGGTTGTACTGTTAGCAACCCTACATGGACCTTGAGGAGCAGGGTGGAGAGAAATCCTTCAACACATGGCAAAAACTCCCAGAGCAGCAATGACATCAGGCTAAGTGATGCGACAACTCTAGAAATGAGTAATGCAATCAACAGTCACGGTATTATAAGGAGAGGAAGAAGAAAGAAGCTTCCTGTGAATAAGCTGGTTCCAGAGGAAACGTTCAAGCTGGAGGATTCCAAGGAGGTCCCGGCAGATCTCAGCAACGATGGAGGCTGTAGGGGCAGGGCAGAGACCTGTAAACAGTTGGAACCAAGTGCTGGAACACATGAATCTGATACAGATGGAAAAGGTGATCAGTTTCCCCCGCATTCTGGAGGAGAACAAGAGCAGCCGATGAAGCTAACAGAAAATGTGTTTCCACAAAAAGAGCTGCCTTTTGATCCGTGTCTGAACTCGGCTGAACCTAAAGAGGCCGAAGGTTCCACAGAGAGGCAGTCGGTAGAAGAGCCTCTTCTCAAATTTCCTGACTCTCTTACTACTCCAACTAATCCTGACTCACAGAGAACAGAGCCCTCCAGCACTGGTTACGTAACGTCTTCTGAAGAAACCCCTCAGTCTGCTGAAAACATTCCTGTTGTGAAAACTGAGGCCGTAGAGCTAAACCTGGATAATTACATCACGTCGTCACAGTCAAATCATTCTAGTGCCGAGGTCACAGTTAACTCGAATAATTCAAACACAGAGAAAATGGTTTTTAGGCGCAAGAAAGGCGGCAAAAGGAGGAGGAGAATTGTCCTGAAACAGAAAGAGAAGCTTGTAGATAAACAGGATTTAGTCTGCGACGCTCAACAAAAGATAGCTGAGGACATCCCTGAAGCCATCTATGTGAAGAAAGGCAGTAAAACTCTGTTGAAGTGTAATTTTTGTGGTCGGTTGTATAAATTTATGTCTCAGTTTGTCGTCCATCAGCGTATTCATACTGGGGAGAGGCCTTACAAGTGCTCTCAGTGTGGAAAAGGTTTTAGTAAAAATTCAAACTTAAACCTTCATCTTAAGGTGCATGAGAAAAACTCGACTCTAAAATGCCATATTTGTATGATTACGTGTACTCCCTCTGAGTTATCCTCTCACATGATGATGCATAATCTGGAAGAGCTTAAAAAGTCTGAGCAAGAAAGCAAACGTCCGTCTGTGAAAGTCCCCGAAACCCACCAAGAAGTTCAGAGAGTGCCCGCAACTGAAAAGAACAAAACCAAAGTGTGTCAGTATTGTGGTAAAACGTTCACCTTCCAGTCCGCCCTTGCTAGACACGTTCGTGTCCACACAGGAGAGAAACCCTACAAATGTGATATATGTGGCAAAGCTTTTGCGCAGTCCTATTTCCTACGTGTTCATGAGCTGACGCACTGGTCTGTGAAACGCTACAACTGCACACGTTGTGGAAAGTCCTTCGGTCATTATAGCAACGCTAAAAATCACCCGTGCAAAGCCCTGCAGGGGGTGGGTGATTTACAGTCTGATCAAAGCATAAAGCCTTCACTCACGTACACATGCCACATCTGTAAAGAAGTGTTCAATCATGTGCAGGAGTTCAACATTCACATGAAAGCGCACACTGGTGTGAGGCTCCTTCGCTGCTTGCATTGTGACAAGCTGTTCAGTGAAATGTCTGAGTTTGATGCACATCGCGTTCGGTGCACAAAAAGCAGAACTACCTCAAGAGCTTTTATAAAGAAAGAAGAGACGGTGTCCTTGATTCGGTACAAAGTGCCTACGGTAAAGGGTTCACCAAATTCAGCTCCTGGTACAGCTTTCAACAACGATCTAAAAAAGAAATCATTCCAGATCAGTCCAAAGAAACATGCCATTAGAGTAAAGACTCCCTTCCAGTCGACTGTCATACCGCCGCAGCACCTCTCATCCCTCGTGTTTAAGCTGAACCAGCTGGACAACAGGTCCGACCCCAGGAAGTATCTGTGTCCAAACTGTGGGCGGCAGTTTAGACACATGGGCAGGCTCCGAGCCCACATGCTGACGCACGCCCCAGCCCAAAGTTACACTTGTGCCTGTTGTGGGAAGATTCTAGGAAGTTGGAACAAACTGTGGTGTCACCAGAGAGTCCACCGCCAGCGAAGCGGTCGCTTTATGTGTCCACATTGTGGGCGAGGGTTTCGGTTTGTCGGAACTTACAAAAAACACATGAAAGAGCATTCGGAGTTCCACTGGATCAAGGGTCGGACCAGGAGAGTGTGTGATCCTTATCAGTGTGAGCAGTGCACATGCAGCTTCAAGACTCTCGACTTACTGTTCAAACATCAGCACTGCCACGTCTCAGCGCAGACCCTACACAAGAATCCAGATGTTGAATTACTCGTGGATGATCACAGTGTTGGTTCCCAATCAAACAACACGCCCAGTCTCTCCAGCAACAAAAATCTTACCAGCCCTTCGCACAAATACCTAGACCCAGTTTCTCACAAGTCACCTCTAGTGCCCAAAGCTCTCTCTGCTTCTAGTCGAGATCAAAATGCGAACGCTAACCCTAATTCACTCCAGGAAGGAGAGATCAGTCAAGACAGAGTTAGAGAAATCACACCTGGAAAACCCACTAATCCCAGAGCGCTCACGGCTAAAAACACCAGCAAATCAAATGAAGCGGCTCTGGATGCGTTTCACTGTGCCGTGTGTTCAAATGTGTTTCTCACCATTTCAGACCTGTTTCACCATTACCTGGAGCACGCTAGAGGCCAAGTGTAGGATACGTACGTGGAAATCCAGAACCTTGGAAGTACGAGTGATTATGTGTAAACACACAGGGAAACTCCGATTAGTGGCAACATAAAGATGGTTAAAACCCACTTAACTAGTTTCTTTGCATAAATCCTGATGTTACAACCAATGAACAGAAGGTCAAGGACGCAAACTGATTGTGCCAAAAGAAGCTAAATTTAATTATCACACAATCTCGGATATGTTAACTCTGAAGTGCATTGATTACTAACCAAAAGGTAGCACCGGAATTATGTAACGGGCTCTTTAATAAGAAATTGTATCATTTTTATTTGTTAATGAGAATCTGATGATCCACAGAAACCTATTTCCTGAAGTATTTACATTAGTTTAAAAAAGTATTTTGTATCAAGTCTGGAGCAGAATAACCAACGAGTGGACTTGAATGTAACGTGTCTAATGGAATCTGGATAAAGTTGAGAGGAAATGTCTAATCTTACAGGTTATTTTCTTCCCCGGGGTCAAAAAGCTTTTCAGTGAACGGTAAATGGTTTCATTTTTGTATCAACATTTTGTTATTTCATGAGTGATTATCGGCTTTATGTGTGATTATTGTGGATGGTTATTTGAAATGTCTGGAAATACCTTTAAACATTCCACTTCTGTCATATCAAAGCAGCATTTTTTCAGAAACCATGTCTGCCACTGCTGTTTACAGGAAAAAGAATAAATGGATCCATGTTCTGTGATCGTGGAGACTCTGGAATGATGAAAACTGATGCAACAGCTGTTGCCTGATGACCACATTGTTATGTTGTATATAAAATAATGCTCTAGTTTGTCTTAAAAACAATAAAGCTCCTTTTCTGCTTAAAACTTTCATTTTGTGTATGTAGATTAAAGGACAGCTTTGTTATTACGCACACACCCTCAGAAGTTGGATGCTAATGCTAAAAGAATCAGACTAAATTCTGGAACACGTCTGGCCGACTTCAACGTGAAACCATCTAATCACAGAAGAAGACTAACATTAAATGTTAGTATTTGATGGTTTTAAAAAACTGAGCTTCTAAAATTGATTTGAAGCTCTGATGCAGCCGTGTCTTAAAAAACAAGAGCAAACATCGGTAAGAGAAACAGGCTGTGGGCCACAAAATTCACTTTTTAAAAACAATCAAAAATATAAAAATTATAAATTGTTTTAACTGCTCAGCAATACTTTAATCCTAGCTTACTAAATATAACTTTAGCCGTTTCACATCCTGATAAATTATTTCCTACAAATTACCAGTACGTGTCTCTACTAGTGTTGTCGTCTAGTCTACCACTCGAGACCATGTAGGGGTTGAAACAGAGACAAGATCAAGGCTATATATACATATACACTCACCCTCTCTCTCTCTCTCTCTCTCTCTCTCTCTCTCTCTCTCTCTCTCTCTCTCTCTCTCTCTCTCTCTCTCTCTCTCTCTCTCTCTCTCTCTCTCTCTATATATATATGTATGTGTGTGTATATATATATATATGTATACATATATATATATATGTGTATATACATATATATTTATATATGTATATACACACACACATATATATATATATGTATACATATGTGTGTGTATATACATATATATGTATATACATATATGTGTATATACATATATATATGTATATACATATATGTGTATGTGTGTGTATATATATATATGTATATACACACACATATATATATGTATACATATATATATATATATACACACACACCGTAAATCCTCTAATACAGGCCGGTATTCAATTAAAGGCCGGGTCTCCAATTTTGGTCGGAGTCGGTGGAGGTGAAAAATGGCCGGTCTCTGATTGTGGCCGGGTGGAATGTGGTAACAAGCAAGTACGGGGGCGGTTGTGTCATCGTCTCACTTTTGATTTGCCAGTGATAGACCACGAGGGTAACTTTAACCGTGCGGAGACGAAGAGGAGGCGAAAATTTGATATCAAGTTCAAAGAGAACGTGCGCTGCAGAACACTGGGGAGCAATAGGGGTTGTATGAACTAGTCGACTTCACTATAGTGACTTTGTATGCCTGTCGTCGACTAGTCGCTGTCACGTGATAATGACCGGCAAGATGCAGCCCTCGGAAAAGACAGCAGCCTGCTGTCAGCAGGTGACAAGCTCCTGAGCTGGGGGGGGACAACCTGCTGCAGAGCGTCGGTACTGACACGCGATCGTTCATGTCGGTTCATTTCCTTTAATGTTTTCTGTCTTTTATTTGCGCCTGATGTGTTTCGCTGCTGTGGAGCGGGGCACATCACCTTGTCCTCCGGTGACGCACCGATCACTGATGCGGCCACCAAGCAGGGAGCACTCCGCTGTTTTTGCGGTCGGTAGATCTGCCTCCTTGAGCATGGCCACAGTAGCAATCAGGTTTTGCCAAAATATTTAACATGCGATCGTTCATTTCCAACTGGTGCTCGCTGCAGAACCACAAAGGTGGAGCTGCACCAGAAGGTGGAGCTGCACCAGGGTCAGCCCCGCCCATTCCAGAGTCAGCCCCGTCCATTCCATCAGAGTCAGTACAATTCCTTCCAGTTGTCAGACTTGATAGCATTCTGGAACCAAAGAGGGTTTTATAGCTAAAAAATACAAGATTGAGGACGGAGGTGAGAAGTTAACTGAACAGTTTTTGTAAAGGTTCCATATAATTAAAAATCTAACTTTTGGAACTTTTTATCATGTTATATTGTCATTTCCTCATAAGAAACACACCAAAGCCATTTTTGGCCTCATTCATGCATTTTCCTCCCATCTCAGCTTCAATTTGGTCTCCTCCCCTGAAGTGGGTCTGGTCTTGGTTCTCAAATCTGGATATTCTGTGAATTTTCTGACAAATTATTTCTGAAATGACTTCTACTGAGACACCGCCAATCAACCATACATCCCATCTCCAAAGACACACTGGATAGGACAATTACAAGTAACGCCACTTACTTCACATCAGATGTGGCGGCGTAGAGGCTATGGAGGCAGGTTTGCATGCAGTTTTGCGCAGGTTCGACTCCCAGTGGTAGAAATTTTAGGTAGATTACAACCCCTTTTCTTAATTTCTAGCTACACTTGCCAGTACTGTTTACAACAATTTACTGGTATACCGTTTACAATATAATGACTAATGTGTTTATTTATTTATTCGTTTATTTAGCCATTGTGAGTCCATTTGTGAGCAGAGTTTCAACTAAAATGCTGTTTAGGAACGACCAAATTCAAAGAACTTTTAGAGACATAAATATTTTGCTGAAAATAAACATTACAACTAAAATATAAACAAATTCAATGTTTCAGCTGACTAAATAGATTGATGCCGACCTCACCGAGAATCGAACCAGCATCTGCTGAGGGGGAAGCAAAATTTAATTCTGACAATCTTACCACTGGACTACCAGAGCACATATGACAGTCGCTCATGCTGTTGCAGAACATTATTGTTAGAGCGGCTGTGGGCAGATATCTGCTAAAAGAAATCGTTTCATTTCAAGATGTATTCAGGCTTTGTCATGTAGCAAGTTATATTTATCTTGTTTAATTGGAGCATAGAACATAGCATTAACATTTGTAAAGTAGTAACAGCCATAATTCATGTGGGTCAGGTTAGTTTGCGATGAAGTTGGAAAACAAAAACGGAAGTCAGTGGGCTAGGCAGAGTTTGCGTGAATGGGCGGGGCTGACCCTGGTGCAGCTCCACCTTATGGTGCAGCTCCGCCTTTGTGGTTCTGCAGCGAGCACCCTCTCTTCATTTCCTTCAGTGCGTCGGAGGACAAGGTGATGTGCCCCGCTCCACAGCAGCGAAACGCATCAGGCGCAAATAAAAGACAGAAAACATTAAAGGAAATGAACCGACATGAACGATCGCGTGTCAGTACCGACGCTCTGGCACAGCGCGTTGCCCCCCCAGCGCAGGAGCTTGTACCTGCTGGTTGCAACAAACAGACACCATTGAAGGTAATCAGAAGTGAGGAACAGAAAATGAAATAATTATTTTAATGTTTAGAGCAGCAGGACCTCTGAGAGGCTGCAGGCGCATCAGTGAGTTTGCGGCCGCTGCGCAGGGGGAGGGGGGAGAGGGCTGAAGCAGAAACTACCGTTGTTAAAAGAAATGTGTTTAACTTTGAAAATGTGGGCTCAATTTTAATTGTCAAAAACTCCAGCAAACCATTAGTTCATTTTACTCAAATAGAAATAGAGGCCTGCCTCTAATACTGGTCCTCCTTCCAATAAAGGCCTGGAGCTTGATGAGCGGATTTACGGTGAATATATATATATATATATATATATATATATATATATATTTATATGTATATATATATATATATATATATATATATATATATATATATATATATATATATATATATATATACATGTGTGTGTATATATATCAAAGGAAAGTCAGAAACAGAAAAAGGAGTTTTCAATTGCAGCTGCAGCATGGGGACATTATTACACTACAGACAATTTCAGGTTAATATTTGAGGATCCTTTTTCGCTCTCATCAGTAAGACATGGACAACAAGCCAATCAGTAATGGTCTTGACAGGTCTTGTTAAAAATCTGACCAACACCTAACCCTAGCCCTCAAGACCAAGAACCTAAAAAGCTGCTCTTGAGAGCTACAACTCTAGTCTGTATTATTACAGCATCCATTTTAAATTACATTTATACCGGAACATCCAGGAACAGATCATCACAGAAACAGTATTGAACATGTTTTTATTACACAATCCCTGGATTGTGGATGCTAACTTAATATCATGGTTGACATTTAAATGCACAGCTGTTATTTGTTTAACAGAACATTTACAGTTATCCGTTTAGTTGGAGGACATGGTGTTGCGGATCCAGGTGGTGAAGTTGCAGACCTTGGTGTAGACTCCTGGCTTGTTCCTCTGGGCGCAGCCATAACCCCAGGACACAATACCCTGCAGCTGACTGCCGCACACCACTGGGCCTCCAGAGTCACCCTGAAATACAAGAGACATGATCAGATGTGAGGGAAAAGTGTAGTTTGAGCACTTTAGGAAGCTGCTCTTCATCTCCTACCTGGCAGGAGTCCTTGCCTCCATCCAGGAATCCAGCACAGAACATGTTAGAGGTGATCTGTCCAGGGTAGGAGTTCCTGCAGCTGCTGTCACTCAGGATGGGAGCATCCAGACACCTCAGGTTGTCAGGATAGTAGCCTGAAACACCAAGAGACCACGCATCTCAACACTCTTTCCACTTTAACATGCATGGAACTTTCTGGCATTTTGGTATTTGACTGACTTCCACTGCTGCTGGTGTTGCCCCAGCCAGAGATCAGACAGTTGGTGCCAGCGCTGGCGCAGCTGGAGGGCAGGGACACGGTTTTGGCATAGTTGTTCAGAGAGGCGGGCTTGTTCAGCTTGATCAGCATGATGTCATTGTCCAGGTTGTAGCTGTTGTAGCTGGGATGACGGATGACCATGGCAGAATCGATGAACTGCTCTGTGCCCTCGCTCACGGCAATGTTGTGCTCACCGAGTCTCACCTGGATACGACTGCAGGGAGAAGCGGGAGGGGAACATAGACTCAGCAACAAAAAGACCAAAGATCGTCCAAATGACACGAGCATGACAGGAAGAGAAGACATTTCCCTCACAAACACGAAAGTCCACTTTGTCCACTTACGACTTGTAGCAGTGAGCAGCAGACACCACCCAGGTGCTGGAGATCAGAGAGCCTCCACAGAAGTGGTAGCCAGCGTTCAGAGAGGCAATGTAGGGCACAGAGTTCTTCCTGCACTCGTAGCCTCCAACGATCTTGTCATCCTCAATGGGAGCAGCATCTGCAAAGCAGAGAGACAGATGTTAAAC